TAATAATAATAATAATAATAATAATAATAATAATAATAAAATAAATAAATAAATAAATAAATAATAAATCATTACACACACAACACACATATATATGAATTAATAATAATAATGATAATAATAATAAAATTAAAAAAAATAAAAAAGGAAAATAATAAAATATTGATAAATACTCACTCTCAAGGTCCATTTGGCACAACTTATTTGTTCTGGGGTGTTTTCAAAACGCCACCAAAGGTGTTTGTTTCCTGCATTTGGCCTGTGTTTCATAATAAGCTGAAATCCTTTTCTATTAAACTTCGGTCGTGGGTTCGACCCCGCGACCCACGTTTAGAGAGAAAACTTTACTCCTCTGCCGCTCTCGAGGAAGCATGGAGGAGGCACTCCTTCGAAGAGCAGCTGCTTAGTCTCATTAAGCATCACTACACCTCCACTTCCTCCTCTGGGAGCGGGAATCCACCAGCCCCTGACGACTCCTTCCTTCTCCAGCTTCTTCAAAAGACACCTTAATCAACGTCATCCTCTTCCTCACACACTCTTCTTCCCCACGAAGCTCTTCCTCCTTATCAGGACCTCGCTGTCGCTGCAGTTATTCCTTTGTTTTCTTTCCTTCCTTATAGCTTATTGGCTCATTTCCAACCTACGAGTTGTTCCCCGTCCTCCTTGGCACCCTTGGGCTTTTCTTCTCCTAATGTGAGGAAACCTAATTTTCTGAAAGGGAAGGGGTTCTTCCCGATGGATGATGGGAGGTTAGGGTTTACACCGAGTGAAGTCATTCCACATAGTTCCGCTTTATTGAACAGTATGCAGCAGATCTTAGTGACCAACAACCATCCCGGGAGGTAAGAGAGAGGAGAAATGTGCGGGGAAAGGTAATCAAATTTCACCAACCTTTTCTTTATCTCGTGCTTATTGTTATGTTCATTTCCATGGTTACTTGATGATACAATTGTTTGGTTTGTTGGCATTTTGGTTGTTAACATTTTTGTTTAAGCATTTCAGATTCATTGTATTTTTAACAATACGTGCTAAGTGTTTGTTTTTGCTTCAAAAGTATCAAATTTATAGTTATGACAGTTCTATTGTAAACATCATTACTAAACAGGGGCATAATAATCATTTATCCACCAACAACTGCAAATCAACTGTTTTTCCAAACACACAAACCAAACAGACAGTCAGCTTATCTAGATCAGTTGTTGATCAACTGCTTATCTGGATCAGCTGCTTATCAGCAGATTATTAATAAGCTACAACGGCCCAAAACAGACCCTCAGTCTCTCCCGGAGCAGCCCACTCGCTCTCTCTCTCTCTCTTCCTCTCCCTCTCCCTCTCCCTCTCCCGAGCTCCCCATCCCTCTACTCCTACACGTTTGTCCCTCACATCACCTCACGCTCGACCTCCTAACCCCTCCCCCTCTCCCTCCTCTCTCACGTCACAACTGTCGTCCATCCCCTCTCCCTCTCCCTCACCTCAAGACACTACTCCACCCCACTCCCCCTCTTCTACATAAGAGCCACTCCCACTTCCCACCACCACCAATGCCTTCTTCACAAGTGAGCGGAGCCCACCTCTTCTTCTTCTCCTCTACTCGTGAGCAACCTCTCCTCCTCTTGCTTCTTCTTCTACCTAGGCTGAGCCATGTTTAGTGAGCCTCCCTCCCTTCGGCAATGCTTCGGTCAGGTGAGTCTCTCTCACCGTATTTCTCTTCTTCTTTCCGCATGCATATCGGCCGTGTGGGGGCTCAAAATCTCAAACACGTTCAAGTGTTGGCTATTTTTCACCACTTTGAGGTGGCCAATCTTGAAGTGATTTCATGCACTTTCAGCTGGGAGAATCAACAACTTCCCTGATTGCAGGAGATTGTTCTTGGCATAGTTCAACATTGACCAGAAACCTACCAAGAGCGTGTAGCGATTGTGCCACTCAATCAAGGTCAACATGAGAGCTTACACACATTCATTACATACTTCTAAAGATAAACCCTGGAGGAGAAGATCTTAAAGTCGACGTGATTGTAGCTGCCTTGAAGCAAGGCTTGGGTTCGAGTGGTTTTCCTACAACCATAGTATAAACAAACCCCAAGACTTAGCCGAGCTGTTAGAAAGAGCCAACAAAGAGAATATTTGATCTTCCAAATGGTCGCACAAAGTTCATTTCCAACTGCTTAATTTTGGTTCAATGCAGTTTAGTATTACTGTATTTCTTATAAACAAATAGCATTTTGACAATATATTTGTTGGAAAAAGGTTTACATGATCTTAATTAATTAATTAATTAATTTTATATATATATATAATTGATTAGTAGTATATTTAAAAAATTAAATTGACTACAAAGATTTATACTCATATAAAATATTAATGAAGAAATTAGAATAAAAATTATTAAATTAGATTCAAATAATGTTTTAAATCTTATCATGATCTTTAACATCATATGGCTAAGTAATTAGGATTGTCAAAATGACTCTTTGTTCGTGAACGGCTAGTGTTCGGCTCGCTAAGCAAACAAGTCGAACACGAACACACTTTCGAGCTTGAAGTAGCTCTTTTACACCCCTATATATGAATTAGATGGTATCTGTGTAAACGGAATTATTTCATACGGTCACTACATGCAGAAATACATAAGATGTCTGATATTCACCGTCCATCACAACAAAGATGTATAACAGTGAACCCAATTTAAAATTTTTTTTTTAGGGTTGTTTGTTGTGATGGACGGTAGATATCAGACTCCGTATGCATTTTTGCATACGGTGTCCGTATGAAATAATTTTTCGTGCAAATGCCCAAAAATATATACATTTATAATACACACCAAAAGCTTTTTTAAAAAATATTATTTCGAACAATAGAGCTTAACAACCATATTTCCAATAAATTACAGTGAAACACAACATAACAATTACTATTTTCAACATAAATAAATAATAAATAAAAAAGGGTATAAATGTAAAATAATTTTCAAATAGAGACACTATTAGGAATCCCCTTCCCTGTCAGCCCGCCCACTCCACTGAAGTCGGAAGCATTCGGATACAGCAGAGTATAGGGCAGACGAACACCTCCATTTCTGTTCTTCAACTCCTCATCTGAATTCCTCTTCAAAATATTCTTTTCAATTTCGACCAATCTCTCGCCGAATCTATGGAATGCCTGTAATGCCGCAGCTTCCTTGGTCCAATCTGAAGAGTCTCGCTGGCCGAGGTACATCTCGTCTGACGAATGTCGGGATAAGATTTCTATCAGCGCGACGCCTAAGATGCTCTGAGATTGTCCTGTGATCAGACATGAAGTTTTAGAACAGATATTGATGATTTGAAGATTATCCTTATAACTAAAAGCATACCTGTAATCGTCCTCAAGAAAACCAAATCGGGGTTCTCCCTGAGCCCCTCAACCCCCGGCGATCCATCCTCCGGAATCCACCGCCGGCTAATGGTGGGCCGATTCGGGGCATAGCCGGCGTAGGGATACTGCCCGAAGTTCACGGCGGCG